CATAGCTCATCCCATGAATTTTGGTGAAATCAACTCATTCCTCATGCATATACTAGTTATTAGCTTGTGAGGAATGGAGTGATGATGGATCAACTCATTCCATTCCACAAACCAAATATAAAAAATGAGGAGTGAGAAGATGATGGACCACCTTATTTCTCTAACCAAACATACCCTTAGGCTCCTTTCGTTTCTTCGGGAATGAAGCCTAGGAAGAATTTCGGCTAGAATCGTTACATTAATTTATATAAGCTTCCTATTTGCAAAAAAGATTTATATAAGCTTCCACGAGCTGGATTGATTCTTGGGGTCGTAATGCCCTGTACGAACGAGCCCTTAGTGAAATGTTGGCCCCTGTTTGTTTGGAGAAATCTAGATGAATCCTGAAGAAATTTATGAGAGCGTGAACAGTAAATTTCAGCTCAGTGAATTTCGGCTGGTATTCTGCCCAGCCGAACGGCCCCGCTATCTGCTTCAAGGAGGTCTGACTTTGTACTCTTGCCCATCATGACATATCTTTTTCATTCGGTTCTGCAAGCAAGCAAAGATAACAGTAACGCAGAGAAGGCATATTGTCCATAACAATCAAGTCCGATGTGGAAATATACACCTTGTTGCGTAATTAACTAAATAACTGGGGCCTGTTCGGCAGGACTGAAAAATACTGTTCCAGTTGATTATTGTGAGAGAAAAATATTGTTCTGGCAGGACGTGAACAGTGATTTGTGAGTGACAGAGCCAACCAGCCAGCCGAACGGCCTCTTGATATTTTGAGGGTGTCATATCTTCCAATGTGTATCGGAATACTCCACAACATCGTTGGACGTACAAACATGCAGGGTTTTAAGAGCATCTCCAAAAGTTTCCTAAATCCCTTCTTAATCTTTGGTTTTTAGCAAGATGAGAAAAAACTCATTTTCAATAACTCATAATTCATCCTCCTAATCTTTTAGAATTTAAGAAAAGTCACCATGTTCCGCATAAAAATTCGCGATTTTGAGAGTCAGCGTATCTTCTCTCTCTCCGCAGCGTGTTTATCTTGAGTCGCCCGTTTGTTTCATTTGAAAAAATAAGTCAAACACCGCTCCTATTTGATTTGTTGGGAGAGAAAACACTGCTCTTAAAATTTGAAAAAACAAATTTGAAAAGACGGATTATAAGATAAGCGAACAGGGCCTAAAGGTGAAAGGCCGTGGAAAAAATAAAGAGTAGGAAAGGGTTACTGATGCAAATGTATAAGAGAAAAAGAATATATAAAATTGGTTAGGATAATTTAGAAATAGTATATGATTTATGATATAAAATTGTCTTTTATATTTTAGGAGTGGATTATTAGAAACTTTTGGAGATGGCCTTCTTTATTCCTTCCGATGCTTTTTTAGGAGTTGTAAAACTTTATGTTTTTATTAGGAAGAAAATATTGATACTCTTGGAGATGCTCTAACCCGTATAAGTATAAGTCATGAGTCCAAATCAAATACGGATCACAAGAGATGCATGTGCACTTTAAAATGTAGAAAAACGGACAGAAGGATTATTTCACTCTTTAATACTCTATCCGTTCCAAATTCTAAGTCACACTGACTTTTCTAAACACATAGTTTTTACTATGTGTCTAGATATAATATAAAAACTATGTATCTATTAATCTAGAAAAGCCACAACGGCTTGTAATTTGAAACGTATGGAGTATTAAGTAACAATAATAATATACGTAATATACATGTATAGATATTTGAAACGGATGAAGTATTAAGTAACAATAATAATATACATAATATGCATGTATAGATGTAGATATGACTTCATGCAATACGTCTGCGTAGTTATAATATGCAAAGCCCTTTGGTCGCAAAAAGGACAGCTACGGCTACAAGTACAACGTACAGCTGGTACGAAGTGTTTACCCGAATTTTCCGGTTCGGGAAGTCCAATACTTTTTTTTTTCTTAATACGCAAAAGATTTACGTATTATTGTATTAAAAAGAAGAGTTTAAAGAAACATACAACGCACTTCTATCGAGCGCCGAAAGAGATCGACCTAACACAGCCGAAGCTGGACCATCCTAGCAAAAGACCTCATATTTCGATATTACATAAAAGAAAACAACCAATATCGACGCAGCTTTGTGGCCTAGGTGGCCTTGCGTCTTCGCGGCTGCCTAGATGGTGCATTTCCAACGGCCGAAAAGAGCTCGTCTAGCGCCTCGGCTTCGGACGTGGTTAGGTTGCCGTCGAAGAGCCCGTGAAAGGCCTCCAACTCCGAAGCGGATGGCGCAGATGAATCCCTAGTGTATCCCATATGCTGCATGATCAGCATCTCACCTCGCTTAGAAGCTGGCACTCGGGAGAGGCTCTGAGCCGCCAACCACCTTTCCACCGAGAGCAAGAAGACGGCCAGCGGGAGAGGTCGCTTTGGGAGGCTCATGGATCGATGAGAGAGTCCTCTTACGCGTGACATTGTTGATGAAGCTGTCGAGGCGTCGTTTGGCGGAGTCGTCGTTGTCCACAGCCTGGTGGATAACCCCTGGTGGTGAATTAGAAGGGCCATCCACCGTGAGGTCGACCGTGTGTGTCTTCGGCGATTCCACTGCTCACTGAATGGGGCGTGGGGGTGGTGTCTGCAGCACACAGGAGCCTATCGCATCCTCCAGCTAGGGCCCCGCCACCGCCGGTGCCTCATCCGGAAGCTGGGGGGTCGCCGAAGTTGACGGGAGGTGCTCAAAGGAAGGCCACGCGACGATCTAACTGCCGACGAGCGAGGCTGCGAACTCCTCAACCATCGGGTCCTCCGAGATGTCGCGATCCTGTGTGGCGCTCGAGTACCACGTGAGCGTCAACGGGTCGGGTTCAACCATACCCGTCGCGTTGGTCAGCCCACCGTGCCTTGCCTCAGTTCCAGCAGTGACCGAGGTGAAGTCCAATACCGTTTGGACGGCCCCTATCGACCGCTCGTGACTGTCGATGGCGACACTCGTTGCCACAGCGGTGTCGTCCCCCTTCAGTCGACGACGAAGTCCAATATCACCACGAATCATACGCGGCTGCTGCACCGGCGGGTATTGCCCGTACGTATTAGTTTTTTTTGTTGACATTTTTATCCAAGCCATTATTAGTATGGAAGAACATGACGGTCAGGTCTAAACTAATCCAAGTGACCGCGTTTCGTGGGGAATTAATCCAACTGACCATTTCGCTGAGAATAAATCCAGCTGGCCATTTCGTAATCGTAACGCAGCAAGTAGTTGCAGTACATCGAACACAGCTAGCAAAGCACTGCAGTATACGGAGTATGAACAGCACGTCAGCACCTCAAGCACAGTGTTATGAAAAACCCGTACTGCTGCGTACGTACACCCTGTTTTTAGCTTGTGTGTCGTGCCCCCTGCCCCGTGTTCACTGTTCAGTCGACTACAGCACCGCCATCGCCGGCGAGTTCAGAAACCTGACTGCGGTTAGTGATGAAATCCAAACTTCCAAGCCCCGATGCGTTCAGTCGTTCACCCGCAGAAGCCAGAAGGTTGGGCAGGAGAGCAACTGAGCAAGCACTGCATCTGCACGCAGCCGATGCTCCGGTGGCGCCGACAGCGACGCGTCGGGCGGTCCAAATGGGCAGTATCGGGTTACCAAAGGCATTGATTCCCCCGGAACCCATAAGCTCGCGCCTCCTTCCAGTGCAGCCGTCCAGGGCCCGCTCGGCACGCTGGTCGCTGTGGCCATGTTCGTCTGCCTGTGGCGTTACTCCTACTGAGCAGCTGAGCCCCCCCACGCCCCACCCCCCACCCCCCTCTGACAGAACAGCGGAGGGAATGGGCCAATGGGCATAAAACGCCGTTTCTGCTGTCACGAGCACAGGCAGCAGGGGCGCATGTGAGGGGGGGGGCGGCAGGGGGCCAGAGGATTCACCTACTGTAGAATGGATGCGACGTGTGATCCCGACGATTCTGCTGAAGCCTGAAGGAAAAGGATTCGCATCATGTGGGCTGTGCAGAGGGAGAACATCGTTCCGTGATTCCGAGTTTCCGTTTGTTTTTGCGAAATTATGTTAGGTCAAGATTTTTTTTGACAGCTCTAAGGCCTTGTTATTGAGACCAAAGACTCAACAGAATCGCGAGCCACCAAAAGTCTTACAAATCCTGGAAGGGGGCTCATCCAAACACAGGATTCACCCGGGTCCCAACTCATTTCTAGGCTAGCTAGATCATGAGCCGCACTATTACAAGTTCTAGAGATTAAAATAACATCATTACACATGAAATGCTCTAGATATAGTATAGATCACTCCGTTGAACAAGGGAGCACCTGGCAGACGGAAAGGGAACAAGCCAGTACTAGGGCACCGTTTCCACTTTCTAAAGCGCACTGACTGCTCATTCGTTTGGTTGTGAGCATTGTCAGAACGATCGTAAATTTCAAAGTAGAAACAATATTTTTTCTCACACACACAAACTAGCCAAAAAGATTTCTTCACGAAAACCAAAGAATCTAAACGAAGCAACCAACCGAATGAACAGATGATAGATAAAAAGCGACAAACAGAGAAAGTCCACCCTCACCAACAATAACTCATCACTCAGGTTTTAATTCGTGTGGAAAAAACTTAGCCCCGGATGGCAATAAGCGCGACCTTACCATTTCATTCCATAATAGCATTGGTGAGTGGTGACATCAAACCAAGAATGATGTCATATTATCAAAGAAAAAATGATGCCATGGATGGAAGGACGATTTCGCGCCTTCAATCATGATAGATTTTTTTTTTTTTTTTTTTGAGAATCTTCAATCATGATAGATCGATAGTATTTCTTGGACATGGACTTGTACGTGGTCATTCATTACGGCCCACATATCTTTCAGTACTTGATTGAGCCCATGATGCCCAACTGCGTCCATTTTGGCCCGACTCGTGACTTCGTGGCACCTTGCGGGGCTCGATATTTTCGGCGGCTCCAACTGGACAACGAAGGGTCCACTTCCTGCAAAAAGTGGGCAAGCAAGACATGGACCTGAGGAAACCCAGCACGCAAGGGCAATTTGGTCTTGTTACGGAACAGAAGAGATATGGTTCCCGGGCTCCAGCGACGAGAGGTAGGCAGAATCCCTTGCAAGATACTTTTGCCAAATCAACACCAGCAACAGCAAAGCGACTACAGAATTGCAAGGAGAATAGGAGATGCTTACTCTCCATACCATTCAGTCATGCCCCTCACTGCGCAGATCCTCTCTGTTCCGGCGTGCTCTGCTAGGTAGGAAGAGATCTTTCATTTCTGCCAGCGGTTCTGAAGATGCTGAAGCCGGTAGTCCCCCACCGCTTGGCGGCGACAAACATCAGCAGGAGGTCCTTGCGCAGATCGCCATGCTTCAGGCGCAGAAGGTGCGCATCACGGACTTCTTGGACGAGCGCTCTGCGTACCTGACCAAGTTCGCCAAGGACGCCGACTCCGAGTTCGACCTGATTGGACAGAACGCTATGAAAGAACTTGATGCGGTTGGCGACCAGGTGAGCATCTCTTGCAATCAAAAGTTGAACAGCCTAATGCTATTCACTGTTTGACAAAGAACTGCGGTGTCTGATGAGGCAGATATTGGAGAGGCTCGACAGCAAGATGCAAGCCTTCGAGGAGACGGCTGAGGCACAGAGGCAAGAGATAGAAATGAACGATAAGGTGTTAGAGGACTTTGAAGACTGGATTGAAAAGGAGAAAAACGAAGGAATGTTCTTCCAGAGCCTTGGCAAGGTCAAGCCTCGGAACAAGAAGGAAATAAAGGTGCAAGCCAAGGTGGAAGCACAGAAGGTCAAAGAGATTGCAAAAGAGAGTGCAGGATCAAAAACTCGTATGAACATTTACCTGGGCCTGATGGGAATACTCGGGATTACAATTGCCAATGCCATCTTTGCAACACCAGAGGTGGAATGGAGGAAGGTGGCTGCTCTGGGTCTAATTTTCATTGGCCTGGTTGCTCAGGTCATCTACGAGCAGGATATCTCACCGCCGAAAGCTGCGAAGAAAAAAGAAGAATAAAAAAGGAGTTGCAGACATAGCGGTAGGATGTGATCTGCCACAGGCAATGTAAACTGTATAAACTAGCATGAATGGATACAACGTTTTAGTCATTTATAATCCAAGAAATTGTTTAACATGTAGCTTGGCCAATAAACCACAGGTTTCTCTAACCTGAGATCTGATAAACTCAAGCTGTCTTCAATCTTGCATCAGAAATATGTTTCAGCGATGTTATAGCCAAAACATGGTAACAGTGTTAAATTCTTGATGCGTTAGAAAAATATTGATACAATTTTTATAATCCAAAAAAATGTTTAACATGTAGCTTGGCCAATAAACCACAGGTTTCTCTATCCTGAGATCTGATAAACTCAAGCTGTCTTCAATCTTGCATCAGAGATATGTTTCAGTAATGTTATAGCCAAAACATGGTAGCAGTGTTAAATTCTTGATGCGTTAGAAAAATTGATACAATTTTTATAATCCAAAAAATTGTTTAGCATGTAGCTTGGCCAATAAACCACAGGTTTCTCTAACCTGAGATCTGATAAACTCAAGCTGTCTTCAATCTTGCATCAGAGATATGTTTCGGCAATGTTATAGCCAAAACATGGTAACAGTGTTAAATTCTTGATGCGTTAGAAAAATATTGATACAATTTTTATAATCCAAAAAAATGTTTAACATGTAGCTTGGCCAATAAACCACAGGTTTCTCTATCCTGAGATCTGATAAACTCAAGCTGTCTTCAATCTTGCATCAGAGATATGTTTCAGTAATGTTATAGCCAAAACATGGTAGCAGTGTTAAATTCTTGATGCGTTAGAAAAATTGATACAATTTTTATAATCCAAAAAATTGTTTAGCATGTAGCTTGGCCAATAAACCACAGGTTTCTCTTGTTAGGAGAGAATGAAATCTATTCATTCGGTAGGCTTCAGCCCAAACATGTACATGGGCATATATGCATAGAAGCCCGAAGCACCAAAATCAAGAATCCATGGCAAGGTACCTGAAGTGAACGGTGGTTCCCCAGTGGATGACTGTGAGGCAGCGGCAGAAACCGAAGGTGCAGAGACTGGGGTGACAGGACCAGCAGCTCCAGCAGGCACAGAGGGAGCTAGCCGATGAAGCAACATGAGTATCTCCTGTGTCTCAGAACCAGCCAAGCTACTCGAAGAGGGTCCAGCAGTAGAACGATCAGAACCCTGTGAGGAACGACCACCTCGGCGTGAATGAGCCTTCTCCTTCCTCTTCTTCTTATAACAATAATCTTCAACATGTCCATCTTTTTCACAGTAATTGCAGTGAAGTCCACCAGTACTACCACTCCCAGAGGAGGACACCGCTGACGAAGGTGCTGTAGGGAGGGGTGTAGGAAGTCCAGAAGTTGTCATGGATGGAGGTGCAGAGCGAACAGCCAGCACTGACGAGGCAGCTGACTGCAGCAAGCCAACAGAACGAAGACGGATTTCTTCATTCCGAACAGCAGCAAGAGCATCCATCAGGGACACACAGGGTTCACGAGCTAGTAACTGAGTACGAAGAGGCTCAAACTCAGCACGAAGGCGAGTCAGAAAATCGTAGGTGCGCCGAAGCTCAAGGTGGCTCTGTTGCTTCCTGCAGGACTCACAAGTGGCAGGGGACAGCTGAGGACTCAGAGTGTCAAGCTCACGCCACACACTAGAGAGCTGGTTAAAGAACTCCTCAATTGTAGCATCACCCTGTTGCAACAACTGCTCTTGGCGTAAAGCCGCAATGTATGTGGACTGACCAGAGGGCTCATAACACTTGCGAGGAAAAGCCCACATCTGAGAAGCATAGTCAAGCTCTACAATATCGGCAGTCAAATGTTCCTCCATGCTAGCAGTTAGAACAGCACCTGCACGAGCATCCTCATCCAACCAAGTCCGATATGCTGCAAACTAAGACATGGAGGAGGCCATATCATCATTATATTCATCACGCAATTTCTTCCTATCATCGTCTGAAGTTGCAGGAGGAAAGACTGGCTGCACAGGAGGGTGGGTAAAGGTGGACACGGCAGTTCACCGGTGAAAATCCCAAAGCCGTAGACCATGCATATGCCAACGCATGCGAGAAACCCAAACACGATAATTAGTGCCATTGAAAATCACTTTGGACATCGTGGAATCGACCCCACTAGACCGAGAATGCGCATCAAAGAATCGGTTGAGGATCTGAACTTGAAGCCATCCTAGTTCAGAGTGCAAAGAGACAACCAAACCAAATGCAAAATAAAAGAAAACGGAGCTCTCCTCTGCTCCAAGTCGCCCCTCCCTTGCTGAGGACCGCGCCCGGCTTCCCCGAGCGAAGCAGAGCAGGGGCAAAATCAACCAGAGGGACGTGCCCGGCGTGGGGAGGGGCAGCAGAGTTGCGGCGTCCACCGGAGGCCGCGGCCAGCTGGCAGCAGGCCGGAGCGAGCGCACGCGCACGCGCGGCCGCCCGACGGCTGGGCAGCACCAGCAGCTGCGGCGGCACGCAGGCAGCCGCGGGCCGCGACGGACGGGTGCGACGGCGCGGAAGAGAAGCAGCAGCCGCGGGTCGCGACGGCGTGCGGATGGATGCGGTGGTGCGCGGACGAGCGCGCGAACGAGCGCGGCGGCGCACGGGAGGAGCAGAGCAGGGGCACTCGCCGGCGGCAACGATGCCGGCGACGCCTGCAACGGCAGCGAGGTAAACCTAGACACCGGCTCTGGATACCATGTTAGGAGAGAATGAAATCTATTCATTCGGTAGGCTTCAGCCCAAACATGTATATGGGCATATATGCATAGAAGCCCTTACACAAAGAGGAAAGTACACACACATCTATATCTAACATCTCTAACCTGAGATCTGATAAACTCAAGCCGTCTTCAATCTTGCATCAGAGATAAGCTTCAGCAATGCTATAGCCAAAACATAGTAACAGTGTTACATTCTTGATGCGTTAGAGAAATATTGATACAACTTTTATAATCCAAAAAAATGTTTAACATGTAGCCTGGCCAATAAACCACAGGTTTCTCCAACCTGAGATTTGATAAACTCAAGATGTCTTAAATAATATTGCATCACAGATGTGTATTGTTTTGACAGCCAAAACATATGTTACATTCTTGATGCATTAAAGAAAATATATCAATACAATTTTTAGGATCCAAGAGTAACATGTAGTATGGCCAATAAACCACAGGTTTCTCCATCCTGAGATCAAATAAACTCAAGCTGTGTTTAATCTTGCATCAGAGAGATGCTTCAGCAGCCAAAACATGGTAAAAGTGTTATATTCTCAACACGTTAAAGAAATGTCACCCTAATTTCAACCAAACTGAATACTATTTTAAGAAAAGACACATGCCTCTGAAGACAAAATCATGGGTGCGAGTAGAAAATACATACACATAATATTAAAAAAAAAATCATGTATGTTTGCTAGGTTAACTAATCATCAAGTATCAACAATTTTAATAAGCACGTAAGTTCATACCTTGTTCAACAAAACCATATAGAGAGAGAGCATAAGTTTTCAGTATGATGATGCTAATCCTTGGTTAGTTAGATCCATAAGAAGTCTTCAAACCATGAAGAATTACAAGGTGTCATATCTGAATTGGACCATATTTGATTACAGCTCTTACTAATATGCTCCAGGTAATGACAGTTGGCATAATACCTGTTGCAAGCACCTCATTCAATAACAGGACTCCTTCTGGTGTCCTATTACAAGAGCACAGACCCTTAATTCTTGTATTGTATGTAACAATATCTGGTTTCAAACCATTATCTAAAATGGCAGTCCAAAGAGATGCTGCTTTATCAATAGAACCAGTCTCATAAAATCCATCCATCAATGTGTTATAGGTCACTAGATTTGGGGAACAGTTCTTTTCTTTCATCTCCAAATAAATACAAAAAGCTTCATCTACTTTCCCAGCAGAACAAAGACCATGAATTAAGATGTTGTGCACCATTACATCAACCTGAAGACCCGCATCAAGAATTTCATCCCAAATACGAAGGGCGGCATCAACCTTCTTATCTCGACAAAGGCCACGAATCAAAGAGGCATAAGTTCTGATATCTGGTTTAAAACCTCTCTCTAGCATTTCCTTTGTTAAGCTTGAAGCTTCTTGATACTTTTCAGCCTTACACAAACCATCTATTAGTGTGTTATATGTGATGATGGTTGGGCAACAACCATTGCTGGTCATTTCAATGTAAATTTTAACAGCATCATTAATCTTGCACGCTCGGCAGAAACCATTTATTAGTGCATTGTAAACATGAGAATTCGGTTTGCAACCATCCTTCACCATATCCTTATATACCTCATTTGCATCATGTGTTCTTCCATCCTTACAAAATCTATTTATCATCGATGAGTATGAGAACACATCTAATTCTTCCCCACTATTCCGTGCGCCCTCCAAGATTTCAAATGCCCTGTTAGCATAGCCATTCTCACACAGACCATGGATCAGTGTGCCAAAAGTCACCTTGTCAGGGGAGCATGAAGCATCATTCTCCAGTTGTTTCAACAACTCTGTAGCTTCACTGACCATTCCACTGTCCAACAGCCCCTTCATAATTATATTATAAGTTGTTATTTGACGAATGCCAGAGAAACCTGTGGAATCCCAGAATTTCCAAGCCTCACCTGTTCTTCCCACTTCACAGAACCCCTTAATGAGTGAATTATACACAGCGATATCAAGAGCAAGCCCAGCCTTGACCATGTCCGAGTAGACCCGTGCCGCAGAATCCACATCCCCAGATCGGCACAGCCCATGAATCAAGATCCCATAAGTAACAGTATCTGGTTGGTGATTATTAGCCATCATCCTACTCCATACCTCCCCTGCCTCCTTAAACCTCCCAAGCTTACACAGGCCATCAAGCATCACTTTGTAAGTGGCAAGGTTAGGACTTGCACCAGGATCCCTCACCAGTTGCTCCCAGACCCTCATGGCTTTCTCGAACATGCCAGTTTTGAAACACCCACTGAGCAACGCATTGTAACAAACGGCATCAGCCTGCACTCCATAGTTCGGCATTTCGTCGAGCAGGTCAAGTGCGTTGTCCAACTGGTCATGTTTCGCCAGCCCTGACATGAGGGTGGAGTAGGTTACTCTGTCGGGGGCCACTCCACGACGACGCAAAGAACTGAAGAGCGACACTGCGCGATCGACGTCTCCGCGGGAACAAAGAGAGCGGAGGATGATGTTGTAGGTCTGGAGGTTAGGGGCGAGGCGGCGGCCGAAGGCACCGTGGGAGAGTGAGGCGAAGAACGCGTCAGCGTCGGAGTACCGACGAGCGCGGACAAACGCGTCAAGGAGGGCGTTGTGGGAGCGGACGCCGGGGTTGCAGCCGAGGAAGGAGGGGAGATCGCGGAACGCGGCGAGGGCCGCGTCGGACATGAGGGCGCGGGAGAAGGCCGACAGAACAACGAGCGCCGCGGACTCGGAGAAGCGCGGTCGATGGCGCATGCGCGGGAGGAGACCCAGCAGCCTCGGGAGGTGCGACGGGGAGGAGGTGGCGAGGCGGCGGAGCAGGTGGAAGATGAGCGGCTGCGGCGGAGGGAATGCCGGGCGGGTGGAGACAAGGAGCTCGAGGTGGGAGAGCGCGTTGGCAGGGTCGGGCTCGGACTTGATGAGCTCTAGCAGGCGGTGGATAGGCGGCGGCTCAGGGTCGGGCCGCGCCGGCGGCATCGCGCCGGCAGGGGCCCTCGCCTCGTGCGGCTTCCGATCGGGCGCGGCTGTTTTTGCTTGGAGTCGTGGAAACGGGGACGAGCATTTGGGTAGGGAGCTGCCTGCCCCTGCCCGGCCGTGCCTTTTGTTTTCATCATCAGGACCTGGTGGATCTTCAGGGTGTTCGGCTGCTCTTCCAGCTGTTTCGGTTTATTCTCTCACGTAACACTATAAAATTATTCAAAATAATTCGAAATCTACCGCGTAACGAATCAGCCGAACACTATTGTGTTTTATTGAGGATTTGACAATCGACATCCTCCTTTAAACATAGGGTAGAGGCCTACTGCCCTACTTAGGTCAAACCGGTCAATCTGCGGTGGGTCTCATCTGATTGGAACCGGTTCTCCTACCAACTCCCATCTCAATCCATCGTGACAACAGATCGTAACAGGTTGGATGGTCTCGTCAGATCGTGAAATTCCAGCTACGCTCATTCGCGTAGTAGTACAGCGTAGTATTTCTGCCGTCTTTGCTGCTGTTTGTTTGACGTCCTGTTCGGCACTGCTAGTTTTGGTTCTCCATTAATCCTTCATCCGTGGAGTTGTTGAGCATTTGGGACTGGATGTCTAGGAAGAACTGTAGGAGCATTCCTTGCTCTTTGGTCTGTACTGTACTCCAGGACCAGGATTGTCGAGTTTTCCCGTACTTGGCGCGGTGGTCGATGCCTAATGACAGTAGTGATGGCGATTGGACGTGTGACTACGAAAGCATAATAGCACTTTTTTTCTTAAAAAACATAACATTCAAGATTTGGAGTCCTTACCGCCGCAGTGAATAGTGGCGGAAATGCTATGCTTTGTCTCAAAGAGATATTAGATGTTTAACTTTAAATGGGATATCTAAGGACAAGAACATTGGTAACCGCTATTTTATAGCACTTTTTCAAAAAAAACAAGCGCCCGAAATCTGTCCTTGGTTCAGGTGATAACGTGATCCTTTGATCTTACTTCAAGATTCATACATCTAATCGGTTAGATCATCTCATGGCTCACAGCCATTGTCTCAACACATGCTATATTTTTCAGGTGCCTAGAAAATCACGAATCCCTGTAAAGTCTGTACTTCTTATATATGATATATAATTAGTACAAGGCGCGCGCCCTCGCGGGCGTTTGGAATTAGCAGGCAAATCTATGGGCAAAACAGATGTGTCCAGTGCTCCAATGTTAATAGCATCAGGTCGAGGAAGTCAACATGGCCATGTCGTAGATGGGTTCATACATTGCACAGAGCGATTTTTATTACTGGGTAACATGGAGCAACCCTGCTTCTTGTAAGAACAAACGTAGTTGGAGCATACAACCATTGCAAACATAGTGGTTCCTCGAGAACCTGCACATTTGGATTTTCCATTTGCTGTTGTTGAGGCGGCGGAGACATAGTGTTTTGAAGAATCCTACCCGCAAACTCATCTATTGCCACAAAAGGAGTAACACACCCTGCCCGGCCCTAGGGGGGGAGGGACGTCTGGGCCTCCGATGGGCTGGGATATACCCCGGGTACCACAAGATGGTGCGTGGGCCGTACCATCCGAGGTGGTCCCAGCGGCACATCCAAGTTGTACTAGATATTGTAATAGCCTTTACTTGTAACCTTGTCCAGGCAAGGGTCCCCTAGATGTATGCATCTCTACAATACACTAAAGACGTAAGACGCGTCGATCGAGAACCTATCTAAATCGTTGATCTACACTTGTGTCACCATCGGTTCCCGATTACGCATCTCATCGATGATCACGCTGCGACCATAGACGCGCGTTGATCCATGGTGAGTCGGATGGCGCCTCTCAAGACCAATGTCGTACCCATCTTTCGCAACGGCCTTTCAACAACATCTATGATGAATTGGCGGTGGCGTTCAACATCATAAGCGGCAGCCACGTCAAATCTATCTACAACGGCGGCGAAAGAAGACGGCGTAGCCGAAAATCCATCATGGTGGTGACGTCCAGCGACGTCGGGAAGGAGTACAAATCCATCTTCAAGACTCCACTCACTTCGCGTAGCACTTCCGAGAACATGAAGGCGTAAATAGAGCGGACAACAGCGCAACATGCAAGGCGGAAAATCACACCTCACAAGGGCCCTAATCACACCTCTTACGTGATCCGATCCCGATTCCTATGTGCAACAAGATCAAGACGACGGCGTCATCGTGGACCCACGTCGCAATCACACAGTTCTCCGGATATAGAGGAGGCAAAGCGCGTCCGACCACGGTAGCAACAAGCTAATTAAGGTAGGGTAGGAATCATGAAATTTAGTTACTAATTGTTTCAAGATCCCTACTTTATGAAATTATAGTTACTAATTGTTTCAATCCCTACATTGTGCATTGAGAAGCGTATTGTTGGTTGAGATTGATATTGACACCATCATCGATGATGATTTTCGCATTAAGGAATGTTAGAAGAAATTTTTGAGGTAATTTAATATGTATATACATTATTTCATATGAATATTACTTTTGCATTCTGTTAACTGCTTATTAGTGATATTTTGTATATGTGTGTATATATGTTACCAATGGATAGTACTAGTACTATTATCATGGTTATATCAAAAGGCCCAAAATTTTAGCTTCGTTCTAGGTTCAAAAAATCTTAGGACCGGCGCTGAACATACCCTAGAGGCACCTGGATATATAATAAGAAAGTAAAACATATTAGCAAGTATTTTAAAGAAAAAGGAACTACTCATTTAGATTCGTAATAAAACCAGCGTGCACCTAAGCTCAAGTAATGTTGTCACTGAAAAGAAAAGAAAAAGAAAAAACATAGAGTAACTTCTGTTTGTGTGTTCAACCAATTAAAAAGTAATAAGAAACTTAGTCATTTGGAGAAGGCTTCACTGCAAACAGTTTGTTTTAACTATGAAGTAAAACCTGCAATGACCGGATGAATAGCACACTATTGGTAAAGATGGAGATTTGTACATGAAAACATAGGAGTTCCTGAGTCAACTAAAGATAGAGGCAAAGAGGTTTATATTCTGACAATCCAAATAACAAAGTTGATGTTCTGAGACTCTAATGAAGCTGATGTCCAGAAAAGAAATGGAATATGGTGCCATCATATTTTCATTGATAATTGGTTTATGTAAGATCAATGTAGAAATAAATCATTGTACAATAAAAGCCTGGAGACATTTGGTTTTAATATATACAAGTCCCCTATTGAAATTATATACATCTCTACAATACAAAAGACCCTCCATGGACTCACATGAATTATAGTGCCTAAATCATTGTCTCCCCTAGGTCACCATTTCCTTGTGCCATTACCACGGGCACCCCTGGGTGGATTTGCCCCATATTTCGCGTCGACAAGGCCCCAACCCTTGTGCCATTCCCCGGAAAATGCGAGCCTAGAGTCATGCGAGTACTATAGGTGGCTTTTTTATTTGAGGGGGGTCCAAGGAGGATGGAAGAGAGAGCTAATCACACCTTTTAGCATGGGTTACAATCGGCTCCAGTTGGAGGCAAAAATTGTCAAAGAAAATTAGACGAAGAGAAAATAGAATGTTTTGTGAAAAAGGGGAGGAACAAGGAAACTAAATGGATCGTCCATCATCGATGACCCACTAAAAGAGAGGAATTTTTTTGTTTGCCTTTTGCTTATCCTTTTATATTAAATATAAATTACAAAAACATAGACTATTATCATGCAAAAGGCCCAAAATTTTGAGTTGTCTCACATCACAAGGGCCACCCTAGAGGCAGTATTTAGAAAGTAAAACATATTAGCAAGTCTTGATAGTTTATGATAAAGAGGAAGGCCAAGAGGCATTAGATTACTTGACAATGAGATTACATCTGGAGGGTTAGGTTTATATATAGAGAGAGGCTAAGCTAGAGAGTTAAGAGGGGAATTTGTCATGAAAACATAGGAGTTCCTGAGTCCTAAAGATAGAGGCAAAGAGGTTTGGTAGAAACCCAAGAGGCATGATGTCCGATAGAAAGTAATTGATAGAGGATGTAAGGTCAATGGAAATAAATACGATAAAAGCCTAACACTACAATCTATTGAAATTCGTATCTCCTAAAAACCCTCCATGGTCATGAATTAGAACTGCCCCTAGGTTTTCCTTGTGCCAGACCTGGAGCCATTCCCCAAAATCCATATAAAAGAGGAGGAAGAAGGAAGGCCCTTGGTGAAGACAAATTGTCGAATCGCGCGACGTGGTGGGAACGTGGAAAAAGGAGGAACAAGGACAGCGTCCATCAGCCCACTAAAAGAGAGAGAATTTTTTTGTTTGGCTTACCTTTTATATTAAATCTAAATTACAAAAAGTGAACGCTTTGAGTCGATTTCACAAGGGCCGTGTATTTAGTAAGCAAGAGTCTTGATAGTTTATGATAGAGGAAGGCCAAGAGGCTTAGGTTGGTGGAGAGGTAGAGACGGAGCTAGACGTTAAGAGGAGGAAGTCGCAGAACACAAAGGCTAAAAGACACTGCGTAGAATCCAAGAGGGTGATGCGAAATAAATACTCTCCTTGCAGAAGTTGCCGTTGCATGAGCGAAAAATCCATAAAAGCAGAAGGAGGCTTGGTTCGGCGACGCCATTGGGAACGTGAAGCACACGGACAGCCCCAAGGGCGACCCATTCGCCATCGATTTCCACGTGCTTGGTATCGATGTGAAACGGGGTTGGTGGAAGGCGCTTGGGCGACCGAGGCAGAGAGATGAGGGATCGCCACCGAGGAAGACAAAGCGACGATATTCGCCTCGGTGCTCGAAGGTGGAACGAGATGGGTGTCACCGAGGAAAGCGGCATAGCCGGAGGTGGAGCGGCGGGTGTCGGTGTAGACCGATGAGTTGAGATGAGTTGAGTAGAGCGGGAATGACAAGACCAAAGCCAATAGTGCCCTGAAGGTAGCGAAGAATCCGCTTGGCAGCAACAAGATGAACTTCCCGGGGATCATGCATGTGCAGGCAGACTTGTTGAACGGCGTACGCGA